GTTACCTTCCCACCAAAGGTGGTCTCTATTTTTCTACTTGCATTTTTTACATAGTTTTGAACTGCTAGGGACAAATAACGGGAGCTCTCTCGTTACGCGGCACTAGGGATTCGAACTGCCGCATTGCCGACCTTTCTAATAGACAAGCTCAGCATCTTAGCCACTGGGCCACTGTGTCCCCCTGGTTTTGCTTATTAGGCCCCAAATCTACCCCTCTTTGCTAGTTGTTTAATGTTTTCTAAATCTTAGGGAGTTAATGAGAGCTTTTTTTAAGTGCTTTGCAGAAGATGATGCAGCAGCTCACAGATATTAAGTAAACCAATGTTACCAAATCACTAGCGAAGTTACTGTTTGCTGAAGTATAACACGATAAATGGAAACTAGAAAAACCTCTTCATCTCCAAAAAGATGTCTGCAGTTTGGTTTCCTTAGAAATGATATTGTAAACACATCACATCTGCTAGGCCTGAGGATCATCTGGCCTGATGTTGTTGATTCCAGGTTTGTCCAACTCCACCCTACTTGGTGCCCTCCAGATGTGTTGGAGCTGCTGTTTCCCGAATGCCCAGCAACACGATGCTGGATAGAATATTCTGCATGTGTTGCATTCCCGACACATCTGGAAGATGCCACTTTGGAAGAGCCTTGACCCGTTTTGTGTGGATGTGATCATTGATCCTTGTAGACCAGTGTCGTTGGCACCAGTTTTCTTAGATATGTAATACTCATTCCTTACACCAGAAGAAGCTACATGGCTGCGATTGGCTTCTTGTACGGGTTGAAGCTGACATGAGTTGAGAGTCTCACAGAGGATGTTCTTCACTTTGGTTTTTCAGAGGTTCCTCTCTACCTTTTCTGCAGCTAGCTCTTTGCCTATGATTGGCATCTTAAAAATTGTGCCCACGTGCAGCAGAAATGCCAGTAGCTCAGGGTTTGTTAGTTAGCCAGATCAGTATGAAACAGCAAAGCATTTTTAATGTTGTTATCAATATTCTTCTTAACACAGAGAAAATTAACATATCAGGAAAAAAAGACTAAGGAAGGAAGCTGTTTGCTTTCTGTGAGCAGAAATCTCTTGTGGAGCATTCAGTTCCACAGAGTGCCTTTGACTGTTGTCTGATACCATGGATTTATTATCTGCAAGCATCATCTGTGGCTTTTCTTGTGGCTTAATTTCCCCTTCTTAGTATCCCTTTGGTCTTTAAAGAAGTTATGATAGTCAGCTTTCCAAGAAATCTGATTTATTTCTGTTTCCCTGTTAAACAAACCTAATTCTCACTGAAAATCAGAAAACAAATCAGTGTTTCCTGTTTTTCCCCCCCAATACAGTAGATTAGAGACCTCCCTTCCTACAAAGAGGCGATCCATTTTATGGAACCAGAAAGCTTTGGCTATTGAAAAAAAAAAAGCAATTGAAGTTTTCAAATCACCTGAAATATATATTCCTTAGGGCGCAACCAAAACACCAGGTTAAGGGTGGTGGTGAGGGAAGCCACTCAAACCAATCCTTTCNGGGCAAGAGGCTGACTCTGTAAACTGCTTAGAGAGGGCTGTGAAGTGGTATATAAGTCTAAGTGCTATTGCTGTTAACAAATGTCTTCTTTAACAACAGACATTTTGGGCTCCATCGTGGTCGTAAGTTGAGAACTACCTGTACTGTGGTCTTTTCCTCCCACTGAGATTGACTCTCCAGTCAACAATGGTGGAGAAGAAAGTAACTTAATCTACTTAGTTAAGTTACAAACCAAACCAGATATTGCATCTTAATTGCTCCTTAAATTTGGATTTTCAAAAGAAAAAAAGTATATTGTAACTGCTCCCCGCTTTTTAAAAATAATAGTAAAAATGTTCTCTTCTTCTAGAATGTGAATGAAGACCATTGTCCAGGGAAGACCTGTGAGGACTGTGATTTGGGTGCTGTGCCTGAAGATGTTGAAGCTGCTGCAGAACATGGGTTGGATGTATTGATGGTTGAAGCCACTGAACCAGTGTCTTCTGATCCTCTAGAGATCTCGCCCCCTGTTTGCCTTGGGGAGGAAGGCACCTCCCAGCAACCAGAAGAGCTTTTAGGCGCATCACAAGAGGAAATGCAGAACCAAAGGACTTCCTGTGAGGGCGAAACATTGCCACACAAAGAGGAAGGGGAGTGTTTATCCTCTGTTGGAGACTCTGTTGAGACAGCGTTGGAAGGACATGATAGCAAGAGGACCTTCTGTGATGCTGCTGGCCTCCCCTCCTTTGGAAGTGCCAACAAGGAAGCTGGAATGAGCTCTTCTGGTCATACTTTGGAACAAGGGAGCTTACGTGAAGAAAATAATCTCTTCCAGGAAGTGCAGCTGGATGAATCAGGAATAACTGAAAATACACCCCCAGCCTCCTGCGAGGACACTAATGTAAATATGGGACAAGGAGAATGCAAGAGCTGCACAGGGGGCATAGATGTTAATGTGACGTCCCAACCATATATGGAAAAGGGGGACATTGATGTGGAGCCCTCCGGGACAACGGCTATGGAAGTGGTGCCATTATTTGTTGCATCACAAATCAATCCTGCTGCCTTCTTCCTTGGTGACCCTACAGTTGCCTGTAAAGACGAGAATGAGCCAATGTTAGTGCCAGATGGTCTTGTAGATGTGGTTGCTACTACAGATGTTAGTTCTGTTGACAATGGAAGGGACAAAGAGACTGGGGCAGAAAATCGTATCAACAGTGGACCAAAAAACACTACCGCAAAACAGTCAGAGGAGCCAGAGAAGAAGGAGAAGGAGAACATTGCTCCAAACCCTGGAATAGAACCATTGTCCAAAAACCTTGAAGACATCTCTGGCTTTTCTCTGGAGCATCATTCTGTGATGGAAGTGAATGATCAAGATGCAGAGAAGGCTACTGAAAACAGTGCTTTGGATTTGAGCAACAAAGGGCTGAGTGGTCCTCTAGATGGCAACGTTGGAAACCCCAGGACGAGCCCAACATGTGTGCAGTCCCAGGCTGCCTGTAGTGCAACTGATATCCCAGAGACCACAGCTACAGAGCAGAGTGAGCAAAAAGTAGTTGACCTGACACCATTAGAGACTGAAGGAAATGCCGATCCTACCATGGTTGGTCAGGAGTTTCTTGTTGCACACCTGGATGAGAAACTGGACTTTGGCAAAGACCAAAAGTTCAGTTCCTCTGGACTGCAGATGCACACAGATCCAGTTGATGGCCCTGCATCACCTCCAGATGCCCTCAACTCTCTTATGCTGCCCTCTGATCTTGAGAAGCCTCTTTGTGGGCCAGCAGAGAGAATAGGAAGCATAGAGGAACTGGATCAATCTGGCGAAAGCCTCCAAAAACGCATAGCTCTGACATCAGCCTTGCTGGTGGAGAAAGCTATTCAGGAAGCTCAGTTGATGGTTACGCAGAAGGACAATGCTAGAGCAGCCTCTGTTGGCCAGGAAGCTCCTTCGCCGTTGGAGAGCCTTGCCCTGTCTTTGTCTGGTGAGGGCACCCAATGTAGTCAGGAGCATTTCATGGGCACACCCTCTGCTGCTCTGAATCAAAGCTCCAAACAAAACCAGGAAGTAGGAGCAGCAATAACAGCAGAGGCAGCAGAAGCAGCGGAGCAGCTGACTGGAGTGGCTGAACAGGGAAGCCCAGAGCAGGGTGATCTGGCAGCCCCGTCTCTTGCTCTGGTGGTTGGCTGGGAAGAAGGCAAGGAGCACAGCTCTTCACAGCTGCCTGAAGGCGAGAAGGAACTGCTTGGCAAGACAGAGGAGAGTTTCCCTCCAGGAGCCCTTGTGCAATCGCCTCCTTGTGATCTGGGTGAAGAGCAGCCGGTGGATGGGAGCAATGCTGAGCCCGGCTTAAAGGAGAAAGCCTCCAGTCTGGAACATGAGGAGCAAGTAAAGGTAGAGGTGGCCAGAGATGTTCCTCCAGAGCCTTCTCTATGCGACAGGGAGACTCCTTCCCCTGAGATCATGCTGAACGCAAGACTTGAACTTGGTCCAGCTGGACCGGCAGCCTCCTCTCCAGCTGGCAGCACTTTGGATGAGATCGAAGCTCCTCTGACGGCTCTTGAACTATCCATGGAAACTGGCCTTTCACAGCATGGAGAGGAGGGGGAAGTGGAAAACACCCCTTCCCGAATATTACTTCAGCCAATTGCTGAAGAGCCCCTTTGTGACTGTGATTCTGGTCCCGAAACGCCTTCGTTGGCTTGTGAAATGGACGTTACGAAGCCAGGAGAGTCGGAAGAAGGGAACAGGAGGAGGACTAGCCAAGAGGAACCGGAATCCCTTCCCTTGCCTCTCTGCCCTCTTCCTGCAGCCGAGCAGTTGGACAAAGTTGGAACGAAAGAATCTGCTCAGGAACCTGATCCTCTATTGGATAATGCTGACCCAACGCCTGGTCAAGTGATATTGCCAGCAGAAGCACATGTCCCTCTGGAATCTCTCGCTGGAAATCCCGTGGAAGTCCCCTGCTCGGTGGAAGCCAGCTCAGACCCTGGTTCTCTCCGTAATGGAGTGAAAGAGGAGTTGCCTTTACAGCCTGGTAGCAAAATGAACCCTGCAACGTTGGAACTAACCGGCTCTTCACCTGTTGCAGGTAAGAAAATGAAAATGAGAAAAAGGGTGTGATTCAGTTTTCTTCTCTAGGCCAGCAGAAGGGGCAGGTGGGGAGATGACAAGTGAGGATAGTTGGGGAGGGGGCTCTGTTTGCTGAAAGGATGTAACTAACAAAGCTAGAAAGAAGGTAGAGAGGAGAAAAGCAAGCAATTGCTCCCTATTTCTTGGTTTGGAAAGTCTGTAGCCTGGTTGCCTCAACGTCTCTCTCCCCTTTTGCACAACTAAACGTCAGGCTGTCAGTTGCTTGAAATGCACACCTGCTTTCCAACCTGACTCCTTTTTTTTTCCTTTGGACTCTTTCCCTTCTAAATTGTCATCAAGGTCTCGTCATCTGCCCTACAAAGCATCTGTTAAGAAGGAGACAGACTAAGGAGGTGTTGTATGAGAGCAGCCTTCCTTCCAGAACAGGTGCCTTAGGTCTTGCGAGGTTTCCATGCTTCACACTGGCTTGACATCCTCAGAGAAGACCACAGAGCAACGGGTTAAACTTTTGCCTCTCAGCTGCTCAAGCTCTAAAAGCGGCTTTCTCCGATGGCTCCGGTCCAAATGGTAGTTTGAGGTCACAGGAAAGCTAACTTAATTTTTTTTTTAACTTGGCCCCGTTTCTGCTTTTGCAAAATCTTTGCCAATTAGGGTACCCACTCTTCATATGTTTGTATATATGTGTGTGTGTGCGTGTGTGTGTATATTTGCTGGGCTTCAAGCCTTTATTTCCGACTTGAGAAAACAAAAGGCCAGGATGGAGGAGTTTGATTAGCGAGAGAGCAACGTTGACAAGCGAGGACCTGAAGGATCAAGGCAGACCNTACCTGTATATTACATAAGAGCCTTCATTTCTGCTATTAAAAATCCCAAGCCTCCTTGATAGAAAAAAAATTCTCATTCAGGGAAAGTTTAAAAGGTTCACAGGCTCTTATTTCACCTCTTTCTCCGCAGAGCTTCAAACAACAGTTTGAAATATGTATTTAATGTGTGATCCTGAACTGGAAGAAAGTTGTCAATTCCAGTTTAAAAGAACTTTAAGGAGATACTTCTTTCTGCCTGTCCAATTAAATTCTCTCTCTTTTTCTAAAACACATAATTTTGCAAGGCATTTCGACCTAGGACATTTTGCTTGATGTCATTCATTTGGGGGATTATCCAGATATTTTTGCCTTGAGAGTAAGGTAATTTCAGTCCCCCCCCCTGAAATTAGCAATCCAAAGGAAAGCGGCTGGCTTCTTTAGGCAATGAATCTATCAGTTGCTCCTAGTTAGGGCAACCTGGTCCTCTATTTTAGAGCAGAAGGCTAATTGCCAAGTTCATTCTGACCCAAATTCCCGCAGAAGAGTATTCTTGTTTATGATAACAATGATGCAGTTAGAGATTCCAGAGACCATAATTGTATATAAATTCCTCCATACAGGAATCTTAAATCTAGAACAGCGTTTATAAGTATGATTCTGATGACTTGATTGTGAACCTGGTTAGGTAGTAATGGGAATAGCAGCCGTATCTCTGAGACCTAATAACTTTTGGATTTCATGTTTGATGTAGGGTGGAAAACACTTAGTCATCACAGTAGTGTATTTCTTTGCTGTGAGAGATTCATCTCAGCCAAGGCTGTTCTGTATTGTGTCACATCTGATGTATTCATTTCAAAACTGGTTCTCCTCCAAAGATGCTCATGAAAGAGGGAAATGTATTATCTTGGCTATGAGAATTATTTTGCTCTCATCAGTATTTGAATGGGGGACCACTTGGGAATGTTATAGGCTAGACGTAAAACATGATGGAAGAAGGAGCTGGCCAGCCACTCATATAATCACTACCCTCATCATTATCATCATCTGAGAGAGAACCCATTTTGTCTTCTGCTGACCTAGACCTATAAATTGATGGCTTCTGTAGAAGTTCATCTAAAAGTTTGTTAGTAGTTCCAGCTCTACACTCTTCCCACATCTGTTGTAGATGACTTTTGTCAAGTAATCCGAAATATCATCAGCTGGAAATCATTTCTCAAATTCTAGAGTGCGGCCCAAATGGTTGATCAGTTGTTTAATCATCAGCTCTAGCTGTGATGTTGCCTTTTGTAGCAAATTTAAGAATTTGAGAGTTTGGTTGTCCCCGTCTTTTCCAGAAAAGAAGCCAATGAACCAGATTCCTGGAGCACCTTGTCGCATATGGTACATTCTGGGGACTCCTGCATCAAGTACCACCAAGGCTTAAACGTTTACACTCTGACAGTGGAAATGAAGGAAGGAGACCAACTGAACATGGAAAAAGACATCGCTCAACTCCAGCTGCACATCCAGAATCTCCAGCATATGGTGAGAGAGAAAAGGGTCTGTCTTAGCTCATTGGTTTAACTGAGCTGGATTCTGAATAATTCTGATTTGTCATGGTCTTGTTGCTTGATAAGTACCATGCTGTTATTTAAAAAAAAAACTTGATAGGATTACAGTTTTGGTTTTGATTAGAGTAAGAAGACAGTTTTATTGTGTTATTCTTTGTAATCTCTTGAGGATAAGTTGCTTTGAGATAACATTCTGCTTCTGACAGCCGACCTAAACACTCTCAGATACCACAATTGAGGATCCTTGATTGCTGTGAATATGGATGGCATGTGAACAGATTAATGAGACGGGGAAAGGAATATGATGCTAGGAAAAGCATCTGTGAATGTTTAATGATCCCTGCTTGTTATTTCTGTGGTTGCACGATATGCATGTAAATAATACAATTGGGAGGAGAATGCCCTGGGGGGGGGGGCTTACTGTCAAAATGTGTATATACTGCAGGAAGTGACCCCCAAATGGAGAAGTTATTGAAGGCAGGTGACAATCAGCATGGGTCTAGGTTGGTGAAGGAATAGCCATCTGGGATCCCCATATACTGCCCTCCCCCAATTCAATTAAAGGGTGTAAAAACAAATAATCATGAGAAAACAGAGATGGTATGGGAGAGGCCAAGGGTGGAAGAAGTGATTGTGAACAAAAGTAACTTATTTTCACTTCTGGAGAGAAGGAGCTAAAAATATAGAACTGATATATTGGTCACCTTTCAGTCCCATAGAATTCTAGGGTAAGGATAGGGGGATTTGGTTCAGAGAAGAAATTATGCTAGGGGACATAACAGAATAACAGAATTGGAAGGGTCCTTGGAGGTCTTCTTGTCCAACCCTTTGCTCAGGCAGGAATCCCTATATCATTTCAGACAAATGATTGTCTCTTCTTAAATACCCCCAGTGTTTGATTCATCTGGAGACAAATCCTTCCATTGATTGATTGTTTTGTCAAGAAATTTCTCCTTAGTTCTAGGTTGTTTCTCTCCTAGATTGTTTTCCATCCATAGCTTCTTGTCCTGCCTTCAGGGTGTTTTGGAGAATAGATTGGGACACCCCCCTCTCCTCTTCTTTGTGACATGTTCTCATTCTGGTTGTTCCAAGCCCGTTTGTTTAGAAAGAAAGGGTGCAGTTTGATTTTCGGAATGGAAGTTGGATTTCTAGAAGAAGCAGATGTTTGATGAGTGGGTGGCTTGCATAGGGATAACTTATGGGCCACCTAAGGCTCATGGGCCAGATATCTCACCAACTCCTTAAGCAGTACTTCAGGTTTTACCACATAGTCATAGCCTTCCCCCCTGAGACCTTCTAGAGTTCACTAAATGCTGGGAATAACTCAAAGCAGAGCTTAGCTTGTAAGTTAAGATGTGGTTGGGTAGCTTTAAGTGTGTTGTAGCAACTCAGCTATGGTCGTAGTATGCTGTGTGAACTAGGTTATCATATTATAGCTTCAGTGGCGTAGTGGTAAGAGTGCAGTACTGCAGGCTACTTCTGCTGACTGCTGGCTGCCTGCAATTTGGCAGTTCAAATTTCNAACCAACTGATACACTTTCTACAACATGTAAAGAAGGATTGTGTTTGTTTTAAATTAAAAATATTTTTTTAAAAAAAGACAAAAAGAAAGCATGAATATTAAAAAAACGGGGGAGATGGGAAAGTAAGAGGAAGCATAAAGAGCCAGCTTACAAAACAGAATAAGTACAGAGGGATCATCTAAATGGGTTACAGGCAGAAAACATGAACTTATGTCAAAAATAAATATAAAATATTATCTCCTCTATCTTGAGGATATTTTATTATTTTAATGCAGTTTCATACTGCAGCTTACCTACTGTCTGGTTAAGAACATTTAAGGATATTTAACACTACAGTGGAAATCAGTGGAATATAAATCTGCTTATCTGAGCCAAGGTTTTCCACCAACTAGCACCTTAGCCTTGCATATCGTAGATTGGGGGAGGTGGGAGGCAATATCTTTCTTGAATGGAGCTCAATTCACTAGGCAAGTTTGCCTTGCTTTCCTGGCAATGAGGAAATTATTTGTCATTGCACAATGACCTTCTACTCTGTTCTTATTTCTAAGTGTATATAGAATCCAAACTAACCATATCTCATTATTCCCCTCCATTGATAATGTTTACAACTTAAAATACCCAAATATCTATCCAAAGATGTATTTTGCAAAACCAACCAACCAACCAAAAGCCAAATTCAACAAACTCACCTTTCACTTTAGTTTTTGCTGCCTTCTGTGGCTTCAGTTCAATTCCAAGTATGTCAAAAAGAGCAGACAGTTCAATCAGGGCCAAAGCATGGATTTTCTTCATATCCTGAGGTGCAAGATCTCCAATTTTTGTTGTACCCGTTTTGTCCTTTGGAAATCTGAAGTTCTATTTAAATGTACATAATGCAGTTGTGTGAAACCTTGGTCTTAACAATTTCATTTTTTTAAAAAAACCAAGAAACACTAGAACTAAGTCCACATTTCTGAAAGCACAACAGGCATGGCTTTTGGCAAAAGTATTTGTTCTTTTAGGGCACTGCCTTGAACAGGTGAGGACTTTGAAAGTGGCAGAGAATTTCTCTATCTGGCAGCCCTTTGAAGTTAGGCAATCTGAACAGAAGTCATTCTTGTCTTTCCTTAAATGAAAATACAATCTTGGTACAAAGTGAAGCCCTTCAGAACTGCTATGGGAATGTACTGTGGTCAGAGAAAGGAAAACATGGGAATCCCAGTTTAAAAACTTTGCTGTCTTGGAAGAGGGCTACAAGTTTTCGGGAAGAATACTTGTTTTGTTATTGTTGTGCATGTATTTCATAAATTTCTGATTAGAAACTTCCCTTCCCTTTGTTCTGACCATTTATGTAATTCAATTGGAGTTAGTTATAGACCCTTCTGGAAGGCTACCCAGCAACCTGGCCCAATTAAAGTTAACTAATAACTTTTAAGCAGATTTGTGGTTAATTTAGCATCCTACAGGTTGTATAGCAACTCTAAATGTTTTATAATCCTAAAACCACTGTCCTCCTCCAATGACAGGCTGAGGAAGCAAGGAGCACATAATTTTTTTCAATATACTGAGTTGGATACATGTACTGTAAGTAGAAAGGACAGTACAGTGGGAACAGATTTCCTGTCTGGTCCTGGGCTCAAACCTCTATGCAAAAGCCCTGGGAAAATTGAAATCAGTAGGATACAGCTGGCAGGAAGAACAAAAATGCAAGCATCAGCAATAGTTTATTTCTTTTCAGTGCTTTTTGTTCAGATGTGCATTTTTCCCTGAGGGGACTCAGGGCGGCTTACATACAATAAGGAAGGGAGGGTACAAGACAATAAACGCAAACAATTTATCTATTACCTATTCTTTATGGAGAATCTATGTGGTCACTAAGATTCAACAATGACCCCCATGGGACATAATCGTCCATTCTATTGTCTGCTGATAAAAAAAATTGCTATCTCTTGAATACAGATCTAAGTTTCCTTTTCTTGGTTTGGTTACCTTCCTTCCCAAGTATTCACTTTTCTGCATTTATTAAAATAAAAATCTTTAAGTCATTGTTAGCTCATGCACTGAAAAATATTTGGGCCTGATAACTTTGGCTAAATATATACATATACACATATAAACACTTACAGGAAGCAGAGTGTCATCTTCTTTGTCTTTTAACACATCACTTACAGAGTTATTTTTGAGATTAACTGCTTGTTCAGAAAATGATATTTCCAAATTAATGTCTGTTTCAGCTGGTTGCAAATCTTCTCTTGGACAATTATCAGTATGTTGACCATATGCTAAATGTCGAAGAGAGGAGAGAGGATAAATTTTATCTAAAGGATTCTTTTGTTAAATACATGAAGATAATGGATTTACCAATATTAATCCAATGGAGGTAGGAAATGTATTGTTTAGCTAATTAAATAATGGATTAAATTGAGTGATATTGAATGACTGTCTATATTATAGAAAATTCCATCTCATGAAAGGAGAAAATTCAAATAAGCAAGCAACATTGGAAATTGCACAGAAGAGGAAAATTAGAATTTGTTTCCCTGCCCTCTACCTTTTTTTTTTTTTAAGTTATCACACTCCTTTCAGTGAAACAAAAAGATGCACTGGATTTAATCGTCAGTCAACCAAATAATAATGACTCAACCTTTTACAGGTTTACACAGGACTAACACATATCATAACTCCCCATGTTTCAAGCCTAACTTTCATGTTTGTTTTAGAGGCTATCCATCATAATGCCTGGCTTTCCCTCAGCCCTTAAATGAACTCAATTTCAGGTTGCTCCATTCTATGAAAAAGTAGCAATGTAAGTTGTAACCTGTGCTTGAATTTTCACTTCGTTTTTCTAACTTACTATTTATTTTTAAATAGAGAAGTGTATCAAATTGAAAGTGCTATCGTTTACCTATGCTGTGGTTAATTTTTCTAAGTTTTGAAATACGTATATTTATATTTTTAAAAACCAAGTAATCATACTCACACAATTCTAGTTGAATGAACCACATACCCAAATTAACATTAAATATACAACACATTTTTAAGGAATTGTAGCCCTCCTTTATCCAAGAATGTACCATCCGTTCACTGAGATTGTTCTCAGTAAATTTCTTCCCCAGAAAACTAATTCACTATCAAAGGACAGACATATTTTACAGAACATTGTGGGGTTGGGGTATTTTTTGGCACTGTGGATTTTTTTGCAATTCAAATAAATAAACAAACAAAAACTGTCTTTGAACACCCAGCTTTCTATCTGGCTGACCTAGTTAGAATGGTAAGACAAAGAGAAGATGTCCTTGACCACCTGGCTGCCTGCTTATCTGCTTGCTACCTGTGGAAAACAAGCTTTTATGCATGAACAGGCTTTGAGTATGCACTCTCAGCAGAGGCTGTCTGCACAAGATTGCATCAGCCTTCTGGGCTCCAGTCTTCACTTGGGAGAGCTGTACAATTAAAGTCTCTGGAAAACATGATTCAGAAGGTTTGATCTTGCAGCTCTAAATGCCCTTGAATGATACTAATTATCTGGATGCGTTTCAACTGGGCTTTTGCCAAAATGTAGTGCTGAAAACGCTTTGGTTGTGTGGGATGATGTCCTATACTCAAAACTGAATTGGAGAAATGGGAAATATTCTTCTGGATCTTTTGGTATATTTTTCTGACCATCTCAGCAGAACTGAATCTAGGAGGGACTGATTAACTGCGGTTCCAGTCCTTCCTGTAGGCCACAGACACAAAATGGGGCTACAGAACTACCGTTTGACACCTTTGGCTACTCTGCTATCACATAGTGTCTTTCCATGCGACTCCACAAAGTCACCCGGAGCCTTTTCATAAAGTATATTGTCCTTATATTCAAATTTTTGTTAGACGTCTTGACTATTTGCCAGAATAGAAAAATGGAGTATAAATCACTGATGGTTAACACCACCATGTCCTCCATAGCCTAAGAAAGATAGTACGTTTAACAAGCAAAACAATGACACGCTTCAAATGCTATTCCAGTAACATGTACAATTCTTTACTATAAACCTGAGAGTGATTGTCAAGACAGCTGTTCCTTTAACACAATACCCCCCTCTCCCAATGCATAATGGACCATAAGGAGAAGAGAAGAACCAAAACCCAAGCCAGGCTTTTTTTTTTCTCTACTGAAGCTATACCCTAATCGTGTCATCTGGATGAAATTCAGCAGTTCAAAATACAGGCTAATTGTGGACTTACAACCACAATTGGGGCCAGAATTTGCATTGTTAAGCAAGGCAGTTTTTAAGTGAGTTGTCTCCAATGACATATTTTTTTTGCCACGGTTTGTAAGTGAATCGCTGCTATGGTTGAATCATGCTGTCAGTAGCAAATCTGGCTTCCCTCATTGACTTTATGGGCGGGAAGCCTGCTGGGAAAGTTGCAAATGGCAATCACATGATTTTGAGACACTTCAACTGTTGTGAATACATGCTGGTTGCCAAGCACCTGAATTTTGATCTCATGACCATTGGATGTTGCAGTTGCCATAAATTTGAAGACCAGCCGTACGTCACTTTCTTCAGTCCTGTTGTAACTTTGATCTCTAAACAAATGATTGTAAGTTGAGGATTACCTGTAAATCAATTGTGAAACCTACTGATTTAGTGCGGAGCCCAAATCTCCGTATTTCTTATTGAGTATCACTAGAAATCAGCAGCTACATCTTTTATTTTCTTTGGCATTCTCTAAACCAATGAGGGGATGTGGCCTGCTACCTGTTGGCTTACAGATATACTAGTTTTGTTCCAACTGCCTTTAAACTTTGAGTTTGGAAACAGATTTTTAAAAAGGTATTTGGGAAACTGGATGAAATTCACAATTTAGGGAGTTTAGTTATAACGTTTTAGATTAATAGTGTTAAGAAGTGGAAGATATACAAAGAGCTACATTTATATATTGAGGATTTCTTTTTTAAAAAAATATCTCTGTTTTCTGTGGGCAATTGTTCTGAAAATAGTACACAGATGAAGGTGACTTTCTAAGAAACTTGCAAACTTCAGAAGAAAAACAGCAGTGGATCTAATGCAGGGGGTTACAGATGAAAGGGGAAAAATAATTTCTCTTTCTCTTACCTATCTACATCCAAAGCACATACAAGCTCCCCTTATGCTACTGTTACATTCCCCCATAAGATCATATAAAGTGAATTTGCAAACTACTGGGGAAAATAGTGCGGGCTGTATGGTTTGATGTCAAATATTACAACCTTGACAAGTATCCCCATAAACATTTAGAGCTAAATCTAATTTACATTCATTAGGGTCACATGTCTCATTGGAATGGTATTCACAGATGTGATTTGTGGTTTTATTATTATTACTATTTTATTATATTACTAGATATTTCAAAATTTGTCCAAGTTAATATGTGTATTGTACTGGAACAATTTATATTAGATTTTGATAGATGGTATACAATACCTTTGATGTGGTAGGGTAAAATTAAAATTAATATAACTTCATATATGAGGCAACCCCAATTCCAATCCCATTGAACACCATGCCCATATAATGCTTTGTAAAAGTAGAACTGATAATTATTTGAAGAATACCTAATGTAGACCAGAGTTTGTTCCAAGATAAGCCTGGCTAAATCAGCAGATGGAACAGATTTTCATCCTGTCCCAACTTGGAAGCAGTGCTCCATTAGGCAGTAAAGTTGCCAAATGTCATATTAAATGGCCATTTGCATGCAGGGCTGCAGAGCATGGAGCACATGAAAATAGTTTTTTACAACTTCCCATTTCTAAAGCAGTCATGAAGAGGCATTGGGGAAAAAAGAACCAAGTGTTACAAAATTCTAAAATAAATGCTTGGTCATTTTCCAAGCTAAGATTCCAGAGTCTGGTTAATTGGCAGAAGATCCGAGTTTTTCAATCTTCCCCTCTCAGCCTTATGCTGACCCAGCAGTTTGGCAACCTTCCCATCCTACAAACAGTTCTTACCAGCAAATGGCTGCCTGATGGCTTAAATGAGAGGAGAAAGATTTTACTAATGTTCTTAGGAGTACACGCTGTTTAGTACTTGAACTTGGAATTTTGCAGTATGACTGTTAATGGTACTACATTGATTGATTTTCTACATGCAAGACTCCATGGCTGTTGTCACTATGCCTGTTCACAAATTAATACAATTTCTTAGAATTAGTTCAGACACATTACTATTTTCTTTTGTTGCTTTTCTTCCCTCAAGTATTGGTTGGCAATTATGGATTATGGTATACCCATCTCTGTCTTAATTGTACTTCTGCTTATGGTTCCTTCATCTATTTTAATATCCTAATTCTGAGTTGCACTGAACATATGAAGCATATGTGGCTTACTCTCTGCTTCAAAAATCACATACAATAAGGTTGCCAAATCATACGTATCTTGAAAGCACTACAACTCTGAGTAGAACAAAGGGAGATGATCTGGCCCTTCATATATTTGAATCCAGAATTTCGTAATCTCTGACCCTGGCCATATGATTGTGAATTTTTAACATACACTATATTGCCAAAAGTATTTGCTCACAACTGAGTCCGATTATGTGGATGGGTGAGCGAATACTTTTGACAATATAGTGTATCTGTAAAATATTTAATCTATTACTGTGCCCACAAACCTAACTAAGTCATATAGCAATATTTGTTTTTGACCTAATATGATCAGGTAAACCAGAGCTTCTTTTTAGCCAACAGATTTCTAAAAACCATGGCCTGTTATTTTACTAACAATATCTTTGCCTTATTATGCTATATAATAAACATAATTTCTTAAGAGAACTAGTCATGTTGCTCACCAGCTGTTAGTAGAATAGCCTAGTTTTTATTTTACACAAAAATTTACCTTCTTTGGCATCTTTTTGTGAACTTTCCTTTTTCCCTTCTGCTCTTATAGGCTGGTGATCAATGCTGGATTCCTACAATATATGAAATAAGTACACAAATAATTAGATACACAGGACTGAAAACTAAATATCAATGATATGCTATCTGTTTTATTAAATAGCATTAATTAGTATTAATTACTTGCTATTTCAGAGGAATAAAAAACAACTTCTAAGACAAACTAAATAAGATATACAGTAGAACCTCTGGTCATGACCATGACTAAATCGGGTTGCAGCCAAAAAATTTGCAATTTTTTCCCCCGCGGCCAATTTTGCCTTCCACGCCATTTTTTTTGTAAACACAAAATTTCCAAAATTAGGTTCAGGTCACGATCAAATCAGTTTGCAACCAAGTTATAGAACAAATTATGGTCTTGACCAGAGGTTCTACTATATTTATTTATTTAGCATATGGATATAGGGTGTATATTAACATTTCACATAAATTAAAAACATAGTAGAAAATAAATGTTAAAACAATCTATAAAACAATAAGCTCTTTATACCAATGTATAGTGCTCTCTATATTTTACCAACAGTAGAATTAAAAATTAATTCTACAATCTCTCAGATCTATGGTCCAAACCAGCCTTCTGAAGCATATTAAAACAAATCAAATGTATTGTAGTTGAATACATTGAATCATTTTGATTCAAATTAATTTGATTTTATGAAAGTTCATAGAAAAGGAATACAGTTAATACCTGAATACTTGGCATTTTAGAATGTACAGAGACTCTTAATATAATTTCCATAAAGATATAATGGATTACTCTTTTAACTTGCAAAAATGAAAACAAGTGACTCAAAATAGAGAAATGTCACTTTGCAATTCTTTTAATTCAAAGAATGCCTGTAGTTGGCCAATTTAGGTGAGTTATTTCTTGAAAGCCTCCTTTTAATAGCAAATGGTGGAAGAGATTTATTTATTTGCCATCGAAGTGTCAACTCTGGGTGGCTTAGAGATAAAGTGTTATTTTTGCCTGCCCTGCCTATCCACTGATTTTCTAGACTGTTTTTTCCCCTGATATTATGATTCACATTACAGAATACCCATTTTGAAGTGGAAAATGTGGAGAGAGCTTAGCTTTTTCTTTAGACTTTATTTTACATTGTATTTCCACACACTAAACCATATAATAGTAAATGTGCCCTATATATTAATGTTGAGTGGAACAGTGAAATTACTTTTATTTTCAACATATTTTCAATTCTTCCCTGTTGACAGATTTTAAATGGGAGAGAGAGAGTTAATAAAATATTGCCTTATTTGTTAAAAGAAAAAATCCATGTGAGTTAAGACTGCTTAGTAATTGGTGGCACATATTTTTATCCAGATCTTATCTATATTGGATTTCCAATAGGTTATCAAAATTCCTTCACAGCTTATCATTACTAATCTTGTCTTATATAAAAGATCTTGTTGTTCCAGATAAAAATCCATCTCTTAACTAGGTGCAATATTTTCATAATAATACATTTGTTGTCTTGTTTCTTATTGGTTTAAAAAGAAAAAAACCCACCAAAACTGTTTTCCTATTTACAAATATAACATAAGCATAGAGTTATATTTCATATTAAAAAGTAGCATTGTTGATGGTATCAAAGAATGAAAATGCAATTTATTACTCTAAAAAGAGACTCCACTGTTTCATTAAATCAGTATACACACAGCTAAAACATGCAGAAACTAATTTGTTGTTCTCCTGGCTTCTCTATTTTCAAGAGAGAAAGCTAAATTGATGGAATAGACAGTAGCGAAATGGGCTGAATCAGTATCATGAACCAAACATAAACTCTGACTGGAAGGAAATTTAGGAATGCCACAAAAAAAGAATGGCCATGTAAATGCCCAATACTTGCTGCATTACTGTGTATGATCTCAATTATATGTCTTAAAACAAATAGAGAATGTGCTACATAACAGTCTGCAAATCTTAGGAATTACATTTTAAGATTATCTACCATTTCCTATTTTTGTTCCTAATAAAAATAAATACTTTTTTCATATTTTTATTCTAAAACACTGAAATCTCAAGTGTCTACAATATATTCATATGTAACAGAGATGCAGGTGCATCAAGTTTCGTGGGACATTAGAAAAATAGTGCCTCCTTTGCACTGAAGTAGACTTCTAATGCTTTTATAGATATGCCTCTGTAACCTTATATTTTATCAGCCGTTCTTCAATATTTGTTATTTAAATATTAAATTTATATGTTACCTTTCCTCTAGATATAAGGTTTGAATGCACACTAGGTCTTCTTGGTCATAGTCCAACAATGCAATCATTACATCAAAATGCCCTCAATAATTAACAAAATATCATAGCTGTATACAATTCAATAAAATATTGAACACTGTATTGGGTCTCTCCTAAATTTGAATTAATTGAATGACATTACCTAGCAGGGAAGTATTCCTTTACAATGTGTACTTTCTTTCATTCTAAATATTCTATACAGAAAATATTTTTCTCTCTTTGTAGAATAGTGATATGAGCAATTAATTCACATTTCTCAATTTTATAACTGCTGGGGAATTCTCAATTCAGAAAAATTGATTTGTATTAGTCGTGCAAATTTATTTCAATGCCTACTCATAAACAAAACTTGCATCTTTCTCATTTATGTTTAAATGAAAGACACAAAGATCAAAACAAAACTCATGTCCTCTAACTTACATTAAAATATGTTCCCTTGAAAAGTTGCTTAATTTCACTTCAAAGTATAGAATCCTCACAAAAGTGGGGGAAAAGGCAAAGAAAGCATGTGTGATCCTTTACATAGGCAATCTACCCTTTAAAAAAAATCTTGGCAAATTCAGACTTTATCTTTATCTTCAGTTCTTCTGAAATGTTCTCTACTGTGGGTTTTGCTAAAATGGAAAAAGTGAATTTCACTTCCCATTTATCCCGCTGTTTTAAAAAAAACTTTTTCAGAAACGTCAAATCAAAGCCCCAAAACAGGAACTTACTTTTTCCATTGATTCATTTTGTTGCTTGAAGATCTCTCTCACATCAGGAACATGGTACTGTTTGTTTTTCTTCCTCATTGTCTGGGTGACGGTATCAACTCGCTTCTGCACTGCTATAGCCTGAGTTCTCGTCAAGGTAGCCAAAACCACCATGCTTTCATGGGAATCTCCAGCAGCTTCACCAAAGAGGGTGGATAGACCTGCTTCTTTTAACCACTCTTCTTCCAATTCACCCTCTACTCAAATGAAAGGAAGAAGGACATACATGAAAGGATGCACTTTGTATTACATTTAACCCCATATTTTTAACAGAAAAATGAAAGTACTCTCTATGGTATAGTAGAAACTTTTTCATGTATTAAAAAAGAAAAAGAGGCCACAACTAGTGATTCAACTCAAACATGGTTAAAAAATTTCTAACCTATCTTGTTGAGGCTAAAAGACTTGATTTAAGCTGAACCATGTTTCATTACTTCTGCACAAAAATTAGATGAAACCAACTGACTTATATAGAAAAGGTGTTTTTTAAGTATTACTAGGGATTGCAATGAAGCTGTAGAAAGGAACATTCAAATATCAAGATATTTGCTTTCTGCTTTGTGTTATTCTTCATTGCTATCCCACAAATCTTTTCTCTTTCCCACAATAATCATGGCAAGCATAGATGGAAGTTACATGACTGAGAAGTCCTGAATCTCAAGGGTATTTGCCTGCTTTGTTTTTCCCTGGTTATTCCATAACTGTGGGGTCAGATTAGATCAGTGATGGCTAACCTTTTCCAGTCCGAGTGCCCAAAGCCCGTACCGAACCCCCAAAATACAATGCGTGCACACACACACACGCCCGTGTATGCGTCCCACCCCCATGCATGTGCACATAACCCCCCATGTGCCCTGCCACCACACATGCATGTGTGACCCCCCACACATGCGTGTATGACCCCCCACGTACGCACACTCCCCCACACCATCCATTTACAGTAGACCCAAAGACCAACTGTCCAGCAGGAGACATGCACACATGTGCAGCGAAGCTGAACTGGGACAACGGCTCATGTGCCATCAGAGAAGGCTCTGAATGCCACCTCTGTCATGCGTGCCATAGGTTCGCCATCACGGGATTAGATGTTACTGCTTTGCACAGTCTTATATTTGTTATTACATCTAGATAGAGAAAACTGGTTTTCTCCCAAACCATTAAAAAGTTTGAGAGGAAATAAATGCTTGCAAACCTGAGACAGTAAATGTAGCAAGACATGATTTGCTATTACATATGAATATGGCCATTGAATTCCACGAGAAAGTACAAGGTAGATGTACATAGTGAAACTATTATAATATCTGTATTGAAACCATCACTTCTCTTTACTGCTGATTCCTTGTAAATTTGTGGGTTTTGTTGCATGGATTTCCTTCAAAAATATGAATGTGTTGCATCAGAATATATCATCTGTAATTTTTATCCTTTCCAAGCAACTTGTTTTTCTTTGGGAACTCTTTGTTAACTCAATTTAATCAGAGGTTATCAAGCTAATGAGTGCTCTTACTGCAAATGGGCTATTGCACTGCAACATTCAATTGTCTTTGTTGATGCTCTCCTTGCTCCTTAGTGATTTGTAAGTAAGGGGATAATTTCCTTATTGTTTCTAGCTGGCAACATTTTAATACTTTCCTGAATGCAGGAGTCCTGCAGAGAAAAACTATAAATCATTAGTCTGCCAGACAACTACTGTAGGATTACTCAATAGTGTTTCTGCTATCTTCGCAAATTTATTCATATCAGCTTTCCTTTGGATAAAATGGGGAAAAAATGGTTCATTTAAAAAAAAAAATTTTTTAACTCAAGTTTAAATTATTCTCCAACTCCAAATCTAAAACAGAACTTAGTTTTGATAAACAGTGTTAAAGTTTGTTAGATATAATTCAATAAAAGTTTTCTCTGTTATTTTTAAATCATGTTTGGATAAACCTCCATAGCAGAAATAACACAATTAATATTTTATTGAAAAAAATTTCCAATAAAATATTAATTTTATTTAGATGTAATTCTTTAACAGAGTAATAAATACTAAGTATTTGTAATGCAGTTTGTGCTTTTATTTTGTTAGTTTGCCATAAAATATTTTGCTACTATTGCTCTTTTAGCAATCCCAGTCTTTCTAAATTTAAAAATTTAGTATTTCTACAATATTTTATTGCAAGGTTACAATTTTTATATCTTTTGGCAATGTGAAAAACCCTAAGAATTAAATATTCCTAATAATAAAATACATGATTGACTGACAAGCTTCTAAGAAGAGTTATATGATCAGCACTGAAATCACACTGCTAAATGTATTACCTGGCATATAATTATATATCATTGTTTCCTTTCTTTTTTCTAGCACTAAATCAACACTGAATCTTGTACATTTAACATATAAGTATGTGACACTATTAAGTTTTAAATGGTGTTATCTAAAAGTAAGAATTTTTAAGATACTAGAAAAAGTTGAAAAATAAACTAGATCATTTCTAAAAGCAAAATTCCTCAAGCATGACAAATGGATGTTGTATTGCAGGTTCTAGCTTTACAAGACAATCATTCTATATAAAATTGGAACAACAACTTCCTGCTACTTCAGCTATGGTTTGGCCCTTATCCAGTATCAACAATGGCTGACATTCCTTCTTACTCCTGAACTATAAACCAATGGGCAATAAATGTTGCACATATTATCTGGAAGCAAAGCCAGCAGTATCACAGCATGAATTATCTTACATACATTACTGTGAACCAGCCAATGGAATGGTGAAATCTTTTATTACACTACATTCCAGGTAATTTAGGATTCAATTAATTCCAATTTCATAAATGAAGAAACCAGTCATACAGACTTTTTTAATAGTTTTTTTAAAAAAAATATATAGTAAAAAATACTCCTGAATTTCTAGGACACTATTGTTATTTTTGGCTTGGCGGTTTTTTAAAGGAACATTTTTAAATCTGATTAATGTTTGATCATCAATGGCTATCACAGTATTGTGGTAATGTTGAGCACACAACCAATAATTAGTTGTGGTTGGTTCCAAAGCACATTTCACGAGAAGCTACGATGACAGAAAAATAAAATAGTTAATGAGGAGCCAATTGCCAACAGTAAAGATGAACCTGGTTTGATGTAGGCCTTGTAACCCATATGCACAAATGACTTGTATTTTATTCCATTATCTTCTCCAGTCCTATTACTTTTTATATGGTGAATGTGCACATTCTGACTGGAGATGACTACATAGCTAGCAAGCATCACAAAATTCAGAGCCTCTCATACTCCCTTCAACATCAATAGGAGACATATAGAACCAACCTATTGAGTATAATTAAAGCTTTATGATATACAACATCTTGGTTCCAGAAGTAGTCAACCAAATGCCCAAAATTAAAACACTGTAATATCTGTTATGGTTTTCAGTGTCATAATTAATAAATAACTGTTCATAATCCTTCTTTAAATCCCTCTGAACATGTGGTAACCATAAATTCCAAACATAAATTATATGTTATTTAAGGAAGTATCTTTCCCTACAGTCCTTAGTAATCTATAGTAACACATCCATGTTTTTCACATTATTACCAGTGAACCGTTACTGGGTGACAGATTTAGAAATATCCACCAATCTTAAATCTGTACTATACAAGCCTAGACTAGAAGCAGAAACCAAACAGTGCAAAATCAAACCTTCAAAATCTATGGAATAATTTCATAGAGTTTAACTGTGATTACCATCAGGTTCTTTCACCACAACCGGGTCACGTTCTTCATGATTACCACTTCTTGTTTCATGGATATTTTCAAGTTCTTTCCAGTAGTCATCCATGGATAATTCGTCAAGTGAATCTTGAGATCCTGAATGCTCGCAAGGGAGCTTCCCCGAAGGCTTCTTAGAGTTATCATGATTCATTGTATATTGGCCAGACCTCCGGCTAGAAAACGAACACACCAAAATAATTTAAGCCTGTGGAACAAGCCCAGAATGGCATCAAAGTCTACAAGAAACCCAATCCTGATGACTCCATGGGTTGATGCCAAACCACAGAGGTGAGAATCGTCTCCTGAGAGCCATTAAGCATTTCTTCAGCCTCAACAGATGGCACCATCGGCTTAATTTATCCAAGCTTAAACGATAAACAGCCATTCTTACTTAGTACTTGAAGTGGAGACACATAGGAATAGTATGTATGTATGTATGTATGTATGTATGTATGTATGTATGTATGTATGTATATATGTATGTATGTCTTCAACTTGAAGATGCCAATCTCAAGCATGAGGCTCTCTGGCTTACAGCACTTAAAACACAATCAAAAATAATACACTAAATGCAATCTAAAGCACATTAAAACATTTAAAATATGAAAAAAGTTAAAACCATTAAATAATAAACATCTCAGTTACAGAAACATTCCATAACATTCAATATACTGAACAGGCTCCACTACAGATAAAGATCCCAAATCTCAGTAAAAGAACCACATCTTAGTAGAGCTATAAGTCATGAAAAACATTCCAGAAGGCGACAATGGAAAAGACATGGGCATACAAGTAAGATAATAAAATTGTTCATTACTTTTAAAAAAATGTGTCAACATTAAGTGAACACTAGAAACATTTTCTAACTCTAAGAAAAATGCTTTTTTAAAGCATTAATCATCAACATTCCACTGAGTTCCACTGTCTTTCATGAAGAAGAAGCATATTTTCTCATAGTAGTTTTTCCCAAAATTAAGACTCATCATGCCCTTTGAGTCTATTTAGATGTACTTCAAACATGGATAAACTCTCCCCAGACAACTTGAGCTAAAATAAAGAAAACAAGTTCAATGCCCTGAGGTGAATCTATTTATCTTTGTGTCCAAGCTGTGGCACGCTTTAATTTGTTTACTGTATCTTCCCTTAAACTGACTTAAGAATGTAACATTCTAAGTCCACTGCATTAAAATTTGCCAGTTCCACAAACATAATTTAAAAATAATAAACTGTTAACAGTGTTACTTAACATGTACACAGACATACACACATGCATAATTTATTTGTTCTGTTGTCACAAAGGTTTATATTTGCAGTTTAATCTAATTTGTTGTCCAGTTTGTGCATAGGAATTCTTACTCTAAACACAAATTATGCTATTTTGGACACATTATGCAAAGACCCAGCTATCTGGAAAAGGCTCTGATCCCGGGAAAGATGGAAGGAAAGAGAAGATGACCAGCAGCAAGGTGGGTGGATTCAGTTCTAGCAGCAATGAGTGCCCTATTAGAAGACTTGAAAGAATAGGTTATAGATAGATCATCATGAAGAAAATCTAATTGAAAGTCGAAAATGACTTCATGACACAAAAAGAATAAATGAAATGCAATTCAGATAACTGATATTTCATATTTTTGTTCAAGAAACTAGCATATAAAAGTAACCACAAACCAAGTTGTTACCATGGGATACACATGCATTAAAAATGTTTATATCCAGTTAAATGGTGATCCAGCAAACTTTTTATGTGAAAAGGACACTGAAATGATCACCACTACACTAGAATATGGTGATCGTTAAGCTTGCATAACACAAGTTACTTTTACAAGTACTAATTCACTGACATGCCCTAGCAAATTTTTTCAGACTAATAGAATAGCAATTAAATTATTCAATTTAATTAATTGTTCCTTTCAGTGGAATGGAAAATCCTTATTTCTGATCCTCGTTTGATGCCAACACCAGTGTGAAAGATGGAAGAGCCTACGGCAACTTGCCATGGAAAACTTGCCGTGGCCAACTCGCTACAGCTAACTTGCTGCAGGACAAGAGTTACACACTAATATCAAAAAATAGTGGAATAGAATCATTAAAGAAAGGATGCCAAAGGAGGGACAAAATGAAATGTGAATGACAAAAACTAAAATATTTAATTATTTTAAATAATTAAATTGAATTGTTCTGTAGCAAGGTGTCCCATGGCAAGTTGGCCATATTGAGTTGTCCCATTGCAAGTTGGCCGTGATGAGTTGGCCATGAAGAATTGGCAGTCATGAGTTGACCATGGCAAGTTGGTCCTGGTAAATTGGCTGCAGCGAGTTGTCCCATTCCAAGAGCGAGAGTGGAATATATAAACAGAGTTGTTTTCATTATATTTGGTGGATAGATCTGCAGGGAAGTGTCATAGGTAGCGGAAATTGCAGGTGGTCCCACCCATCCACACCCGGCTCTATAGCATCGCATTTAGGCAATTTTTTCACCAAAAGAGCTAGGTGTGTGCGCTCACATTTCCGAATCTGTAGGGAAGTGTATGCCACCCCTGGAGCAGAGTATTTTTAAACACCTGAACTCAAAAGGAAGACAGAGCAATGGAAGGTGATGGATAGGTGATAGGTGATAAAAAAAGAGTTCTGCCTGAAGGTAGAACTGCTGATGTGGGAACTGTAGCACATGAGAACTGTTCAATATTCTAAAGCTCGGATTCTTAAAACTCACTGACCTTTACAACCAATATTTCTCTTTTAAACAGCAGTTCAGCTCCTGGCTTTCACTTACAAAAAGAATTGCTCAACCCCACAGTACTTCAAGACATCCCAAAGGAATCTACTCTTTCCCTCCTGCTGTTTCACATTTACATAAGACTGACAGACCTTATCCAGGGATTGGGTGTGAAATCTCACCAATGTGAGATGATGTCAAGCTTTCTCTCTTTTTCATCAACATTCAAGAAAGTTTTCGGAATCATTATTGTGGAACAGTAGTGGCCAAGTAAAATTGAATCTACTCAATCACAACTCAAGACTCAGAAGAATATTTAAATTGTGTTATGGAGGGATTACTTTTCCTTTAAAAATCTTTAAGAATATGATCTATGGACATTTCTCAATACATCATTGGCGTGAGAGGCCTCTGCAGATAAAATTAGCTTAGATTGACATTATCTGAAGCATAATGGATGGAAATAATTCACTAAAATTTATTTTGACAATCTAATTATTACCTAGGGCTTCAAGACAAATACCCAAAACTGGATCTGACAGGACACTCTGGTAATCTGTTAGCAGTATGAAGTCCCAACTTAATTTTCTTGCCCCATTTCCTTTGAAAATGTTAACACCTTTAATAGCTAACCAGGATTAGCTTTTGCCATTTTATCTATTTCATAGACAAAAGATCGGAACAGCATCAGGCCCAGCTGAATTAACTTCTTCATTTTTGAAACCCTGTGCTGAAGAACTGGCTCACATCTTCACACCGATTTTTTATAAATCATTGGAGATGTGTTGTGTCCTTTCTTGCTTCAAATCACAACTACCATCATCCTAAGAAATAAGAATAAGAAACCCTCCATCAGAGAGCTGAATGACTACAGGCTGGTCACTCTGACACCTGGAGTTATGAAGTCCTTTGAGAGGTTAGTGCTGGCCCCCTGAAAGTCATCACAGATCCATTGTTAGATCCCTTTGCAGTTTGCCTAAATAGGTCAGCAGATGACGCTGTCAATATGCCACTGCACTACATCTTGCAACATCTTGAATCGCCAGGGACCTATGCATGGGTCCCTTTTGTAGATTTCAGCTCAGCATTCAATACCATTACTCCAGAAATTCTTCACTCTAAACTGATTCAGTTCACTGTTCATACTTGTAAGCTTATCAGCTTTCTGACAGATAGAAAACAAGTGAAGCTACTACACAAGGCAATTAGAAAAAGTGCCCCTTAGGGCTATGTGCTCTCTCCATTGCTCTTCTCTCTCTCTCTATATATATATATCAATGACTATGTCTCTAGAGATCTCTCTGTTAAAGTTCTAAAGTTTGCAGATGACATAATGATCATTGGTCTCATTTGAGATAGTTATGAGTTTGCGTATAGACAGGAGGTTGAACAACTGGCCCTGTGGTACAGCTGAAACAATCTGGAGCTGAACAAGCTTAAAACTGTAGAGATGAGAGTGGATTTTAGAAGATCTTTTATTATACCACTTTTTACTATATTTAAAAGCACAGTATCAGCAGTAGAGTCCTTCAGGTTTTTGAGTTCTATAATCTCCAGGGAGTTGAAATGGACACCTAACATTAAAACCATCATTAAAAAGGCATAAAAAAATGTTATGGAAATTCAGACTGCCCCAGTAACTGTTGATACAGTTTTACAGAGTCTGTCATTTGTACTTCTGTAACTGTCTAGTTAATGGATAGTTTAAGACTGCAGGAAGAATAATTGCAACCTAGCTGCCTTCCATAGAAGACCTGCATATTATGCGTGCCAGAAAGAGGGCTAAGATATCTACAGACCTTTCACTTCTTGCACATTAAACTGTTTCAACTCCTCCCCTGGGACAGCAATATAGAGCACTGCAAGCCAAAAGAAGTAGACACAGGGACAGATTTTCCCCTTGTGTTATCACTGTGCTGAACACCTAATTCTCTGTCTATGTGTATTTATCCATGTAGTATAGCTGTAGCTTCATTATTTATCCTTATCTTCTTTACTCCCCCCCCCTTATTGCTATTATTATTATTATTGTACAATTGTATCACAGCGGCCAGTTGTTTCGCCGGATTTGGCATTGGTTACTAGTCGGGCCCCACCCAGGGGCCTA